ATATATCCTGATAAATTTATGATATTAAATATTTATACATTTTATTTATATCTTCCTTAACCTATTCGTATTTTCATATATACAGATTTTCCCACCAAAATCAACAAATTGAATTCCTACCACCACCAAAAACGCCCATCCAAACAATTGAGGAACAAATGTCAGCAAATAGAAGAACAATAAACGAACTTAAAACATTGGATGCACAAAATAATCTGGTTAGTACTATTAATTTTTTTATTAATTTTTTACTACATTTAGTCAACAATTTAAAACCACAAAATTATATATTTTATGCAGGGTGAAAAATTCACTGTAAGAGCGACCATAGTAAACTTTCCAACATCCCAAGGATGGTTCTATAATTCTTGCCCCAGATGTTATCGACAATTAAAACATGCAAGAATATGTTGGTGGTGCGACAGTCATGGCCATATAAAGTCAACACCATCTCCATGGTAATTAAATTTATTACCACATCATTTTTATTTATTATATATATATGTATACATTACAGGTACAGATTAACAATCCAAATTTAAGATCATACTGGAGACATGGAAGTTATCGCTCTTGGCAGAACCGCTCAGGCATTAATAAAAAAACCATGTTCTGCATTAACAATTGATGAAGGCTTTACTGATCCATTTATAATACCACCAGCTATCGATCAGATCCAAGGACAATAAAAAATCTTCTAACTTTTCTTTCAACAACGTGGCACCCAGATGAGTACTTTAATTTCCAAAATATTTGAAGACATTCATATTCCACCATCGTCACCAAAACAGTTAACTGCAGGAACAGACGAACCACAAAGGTAAATAATGCTTTCAAAAAATTTTTACCAACTATACATAAATAACATTGATATTATATTAACCACAATTTTAAAAATGTTTTCGTCTTTCAGCCCGCAGGCAATACCATCATCACAACTATCGACACCAACTAGACTTGATCCACACACTCCAACACCAAAAAGACCTAGCACAAGGTAAACCACATTCAACCCAACAAATATTATCAATTTATTTAAAAACATAGCTACAAATTATTCCATTTTTCCAGTCATGAATCAAGAACAACAAGACAATCTACAAAACGCCTAAGAACAAGGTATTATAAATATTTTTATATTATTTATTTCATACTTTATATTTTAAACGCCTTTATTTCTATTAGCACTTATATTTACAACTCTTTTTTCCCTTTCTAATACTTGCAGCTGATAAAAATGAACTGCTCATGAACCACAACGACATCGTTCTTTATCCTGTACATTCTGTATATATATAAATATTCAAAAAAAAAAATACTATATATGTCTGTATAAATATTTTTGTACAAATTTTATTTTTATCATATAATACAATACTATATAATATATGTATATATATTAATGCATTTTCATTATAACTACCATTGCGTTATACCACATTCCGCAGCAACGCGCAGATCTCACACTCGTAAAACCTATTAAAAGAGAAAAAGAAAAAAAACTATTAAAAAAAGAAAATAGGAAAAAATCATTTTTAGTAGCGCGAAACGCGGATACTCTGTTATTTTAATAATATTAAAAGAATATTTTTACTTTTAAATAAATATTCTTTCAATACTCATTGGATTATGAAACAAACAATGTCCAAACTGACCTTTTTATTAATTAAATAAAAATTAATAATTTTGTTAATATTTTTTAAAAATATTTTAACTTTTTATTTTTTAAAATTTTAAATATTTTAAAGTATTTTAAGAATTTTTTTTTTAAAATATTTTTTGTTGTTGATTAGTGAGAATAATAGAATGAACATTATATGTTTAAAAATGGACAACGACGTATTGAGAGAACTTTTTTAAAGGTGAAGTACTATTTTAATATTATTAAAAACATAAAATACGAACAAAATGTTTCGTTATAACAGAAAATACCAAAGTCATTTTATCTTAAAAAAATTACTAGTAAATAAGTGAGAAAACAAAGACAATATTTTATAAGGAAAAGAAGAAGTAAAAATTACACCACATGAAAAATACATAAATGTGGATTTAGAAATATAAGAGTTTTTTTTAAATATTTTTTTAAATGATGTTACGTGGAGCAAGTATTGATTATTTTATTAGTATTAATTTTACTTAGCTAACGTTTGGTTCATGGATTAGAATCATGATATTAGAATCATTTTCGATTTACGTGTATTTTTTATGAGAGAAAACACTGTAACGAACTATGAATCATGATTCAAATCATGGTATGAATCCCCTTACCAAACGTCTCCTAAAAGATTTAAATTTCAATACCTCTAACGCTTTTGGCCAATATTTTAATTGTTAGCGTTTATGCCCTTAGGAATAAATGTAACAATATTCTTTGAGACATTTTGACTATTAATAAAGATTTATTTATTTCATATATCTATGTATTGTCCTATTTATGTTCATAATAGTTGAATGTATGATAAGCAAACTGAAAGTCTGAGACTGTCATTCTAAATCTTTAGGTCATGCATGTAATGTGAAGAACATGCGGAAGACAAGAATCTAAAGATGATAGTCTAAATATTATGATCCACAATCGAGGGAATAAAGTTGGGCACCTTATTCATGTTAAGATTGTTATGTTGTCTACTTCTTAACGGAGACGGCTTGTCTTGGTCGTCGGAGGTGGGACTCCATGGGTGGAGACATTGATATAGTTTCTAATGGTGTAATCTATATTGGATCGGACCAAAGTTGAATTGTTTTAATTAATAATTCTGTTTGAATAAAATAATTCACTTTTGATGAATTATATGTTGTCATCTTAATCCTGAGATGGATGATGAGTTCGTTTGCTTGACTTGTATCCTTTGATGTACTAAAGCGAGACATCCTAACATTATGTAAAGGTACGCTTGCCGGTACATTGGGAGTATGACTCGTGTATGCGTAGATTCGTTATTCATATATAGTGGAATCCATAGCTCCTATAAAGAGTCAATGATATCCTCTTATGCATTATCAGTGGATTGGAAAATACGAGCGCTCGACCATTAGACTACTATGTGTTATCTAATGGTTTACTGTTTGTAATGGTACGAGTGCAGCTCTAGGCTTTTAGTGGAATAGCGCTAGAGTTTTATAATCATGAGACGGACTTGTTGGTTTACAAGTAGCGTTGTGATTATAGGAGCTTGATTTATATATGTCCATCGGGTCCCTTTGCTAGCTCACATAATTTCCTGTAACGATACGGCGTATTTCCTACACATTGGTAACTTGTGTTATTTCCGTAAAAGAGGTTCAAAGTTAATTCATGGGTGATTTATTGGGTGAATTAATTGATAAATTAATTCTAGATAAATTGGTTGAATTATTGTTTTAAGAGTTGTTTAATATGGGAAGACTATTATATAACTGTTTTGATAAGGTAATTTCTCTATTGGGTTGCTTGAATCAAAACTGAGGCTCTATGCAAGTTTCCTGTGTTGAAAAACTAGGAAAACAACTTTCGTCAGTGCAGACAAGTCGACCGGTCCGGTCGACCGGTTAGTGAAGACTGGTCGACCGGTGAGTTATAACGTCTCTGTCACCGGTCGACCTGTTGTAACGTAAAATGCATGCTGACGTGGCAAAATTGACTCTGGATGCGATTAAGACTTTGGGAAACCTAATTATTACCGAAGTATGACTTCCTAAACACTATAAATAGCCTATTAAGTCACATTACTCATAAGATCACTTGAGAGACTTTTGATAAAAGATTCCTGAGAGAAAAAATTGTTTAATTCTCAAGAATAATTTTTTCTTTGGCTCTCTTGTGATTGGAAGGAGATCAAGAATACCAAGAGGAGATTGAACGACGTGTGCCCACCCGCACTCCGATCGTGAAAACGAGAATAGCAAAGAAGACCAGTTGGTTGAGGCTCTTCCGGTTGCTGTTTGGAACGCTTTGATCTGTCAGACGTGCAGTTTCCTAAATCTCAAAAGGTATGATTTAGATCTTTAGTATTTATGTTATATAGCATCATAAATATGTTCTTGGTTGGCTTTGACGTTGATTAAATTTTTAAATTCCGCTGCGCACTCGATGCCATTATTTTCCAACATCAATGATATTGGATGTCTGGAACTAATCTACCATAATAATAAATCATTTTTGTGGTTTATGTTTTATTTTGCATTATAAATAGTGTTATCTAATTAGTGAAATTTATTAAAATATTGTGTATATTAATGCATGCATTTTAAATGTTTTAATGTTTCATTTTTGTATTACAAATTGCATAGTAATTTTAGTTCATTTTATAAATTTTAACTTAAATAATAAAAAAATTAAAACAACATAAATTAAAAAATCATTAAATGCCAAAATAAAACATTAAATTTCAAATTACATAGTAATTAAATGATTAAATAATAAAAAAAGGGAGAAAGAAGTAAATCACATGTTTCTAGTAAATAATTGAAGTAAAACGACATGTCAACAAATATTATTGAATTTTGTTGTTAACATTAACTCCTGGGAATCTTGCTCAATATTGGAGCATGTGACTACAAAAATTCAAAGGATCCTTCCATTAAAAAAAAAAAAAAAAAATCAAACGATCCTGATACTTCAATCTTTCTAGATACGAACCAGTGTTCATTACATTTTCCCATAATAATCAAACCACAGAAAGCAACGGCATGATAGGATGGGATAGAGCTTGGATTTAGGAGGATAGGGATTCGATATATATATAACTATATATATATATATATATATTAAGGGACAGATTCAATTCTGTACTGTATAAAAAAGTCGCAGAAAGCCAAAAACCAAAATCCGCACATAGCCTAGACCATGTGATTGGACTAGTGAATTTCAACAGCAGTCCCTTGCAGGTTTCATCTCTCGAGACTGAAAATATAAGAGGAAGAGTTGCAAAGTTATCTCAAGTTTACAAGTGTCTCATATTTCATGTCATACTTATAAAAAAATAAAAAATAAAAGTTATCCCAAGTTTACAAGTGCTTCAAATATAATGTCATACTTAAGACAAATGTTACTATAACTAATATTTGATACAAACAAAAAGCATCCTACAAAGTGAATAATGGAAGCTTGAAACTCAACATTGAACAATTATCATAACATGTCTTGAAGATCAAACCCCCAATGCACTCAATTATACACATTTCCAATGATCAATTGAACAAATGTGACAGGGTCAAGGGAAAACTCTCATTTCATGTGAGATGTGGTGGAAATATTTGGACAAATCTGTATTTAATCTATATTATTAACAACATATTCTTAAGTATCCATCTTCTGTTCCAACAACAAACAATCGCGAAAAGGGTAATATACTGATGCTGGATAACACGGATAGATTTCTTGTCCCTTGATCGGCGTACAGGTTTTGAGGTATAATCCGCTGGCTTCCATCCTGCGACATCCCACAAAAAAATCAGCTCATCATTAGCAGGCATTGCGCGGCACACAAACACACTTCCAAGTGAAGCAACATGCAAAGAAAAGAAGCATTTATGTTTTTCTAGTTGAGCAGATTATTGCTCAAGCAACTCCCTACAAACCCTAAAAAATAAAAATAAAAATAATAATAAAAATAAAAACGTTGTAACATTTTGTTGTTGATAACTTACTTCATCAGAAGATTTTGACAAAGAAGAAAGGCCGATCTTATTTCTCGATATTGAAACGACGTCTTGTCCCCACACTGAAAAGCCAGCTATTCCATCGTTATGACCTCTAAATATTGTAGGCTGAGATGTGTAATTCCTGCAAGGAAAGTTTACAGAGGACCATTACTAGAGTAACAGATTCAGGAAGTTGTTCTAGTAAGAGCGACATTTTTTTTTTCTTTGTAAGGGAAAACTAAAATTTAAAATAGAAAAAATATATTCAACACATCAGTCACCCCAATTTTTTTTTTTTTTTTTTACTGATAATAATTTTTTAACAAGCTCTTAAGATATAGACTTTAACTTGTAACTTATAATGTATAGATTCTATAGAAAGTCAAAAAGCAATATAAAAACTCATACATGTAAAGGGCATGTATTAAACTTTCTTATATACATAAGAAGTGTACATATAATTTTACAATGCCATTGGTATGGTTATTGAATCCAAGAGAACTTGGGGAGCTATAACTTGTTTAAAGTGAATGGCCAAACATTTATATTCTCGATTCTATCAAATTGGCTAAATTTTAGGAGAAAAATCAGGTAACAAAACAAGAACATTGAAAGAGAGGACAAAGGATTTACAGAAGAACACACAAAGATCATAAGAGAGGAAAAATATATTAGGGACATAAATGGATCATCAGAATCATGTGTGAAAAGTAGCGAGTAACTGAAACATTATTATAAGTTACCAGGATCGCTGCAATTACCTTCTCAAGTCCCATATACGTAAAGTCCTATCAAGAGAGCTGGAGACCAGCAAATGGTCCTCTGGTGCAGCTAACTGTACATGTAAAGGGGATGGATAAAATTTCAATTCAAAGATGCAATTTAATGATTTTAATGTAGCTAAGGTTTTTCCAGTATTTTCAACATACTTTTGTCACGCATCCATCATGAGCCCTCCAAGATGCAATAACATTCCCACACCTTGCATCAAATAACCTACAGTGACCTGAACTTAGTCCAGTGGCAATCCAAGATGGCGAAGCGGAAGCTCCATCTGTTTGCAATTTGTCCGACCCACAGGAGCATATGGCAGAGACAAGAGAAGGAAAACCAGACCCCACGGATTCTCCCCTCCAAAGATGAAGCCTTTGACCGCGAGCTACATCTATGAACCTACAATATAGAGTGAATATTCAAAAATTGAACTATATTGGAATCCTACAGTTAATCAGCTCGTAATGGAATCATTTTTTTTTTCTTCACCTAAGAGAACCATTTCCTGTGCCAACGATGAGTGTATCAACAAATTCCATCTGATGCATGCAAGTATACAAACTCCCATCGAATGCATTAGTCAATAATCCCCCAGAAAGTGTGCTGGAGTTCAGCATATTAATCTGCTCAGAATTCCTTTTTGAGGCAGAGGATAAAAGGCTAGGAAGATGTGTAGAATCTGATGATGATTCAGCAAACAAATGTATTAGTTTCCCCGTACGGCTATTCCAAACATGTATGGTCCCGTCACAAGATGCCACTCTTCCGGTAGATGACAGGACACAAACGTCATTCACAACCTAAAATTTGCAAACGTCAATTAGCCTCATGGGAATAGGCACAAGTATAAATTTAATTTGTATGAAGATATAACATAGTAGCTTCAATGTAAGATAATGGGAGAAGCGAACCTCCTCATGACCATAATAGCTGGATATTGAATTAACTCTAGTCAGTTCCCATCTCTGAACGGTTCCTTTGAACCCTGGGCCAATTCCAGCAGAGAAGACTGTACACTCATCTTGGCAGACCGCTAAAGATCTTATGGCCCCTTGATGTGCTCGGACAGAGTATATAACAGACGCTCTGATCTTCCATGGATGTTCATCTTTTAGACCCCCAACACGTCCAAGAAAATCTAGTCCATCCCAGTCAGCAGCCGTGCCAGGGAACCAAAACCAGGGCTCGAACTTCACAAAGTTCGATGTTGCTGCATGCATTTCAACTGGACTTTGTTGAGCAACTTCAGAAACCCTTCTCTGCGGCATTGAGCTTTTGGAACCCCTGCTTGCTTGTGACTGGGGAATCGACCATCCAACCCCATTAAGCAATATCTTTGCAGGATAGTATTCCAGAGTTGAACCCTTGCTCGACATAAGCCTTTTAGAGATAATAGTTTCTGAACCACTTCTTGATGATTCTCCTGTATATTCCCACTGAATCATGACAGAATTAGAACCCAAAAAAAAAAAAAAAAAAAAAAAAAAAGTGTACTTAAACATATGCGCGTGTGGGAGAGAGATGCGAATGAAAATTTTCTATTTATCAGCATTAAATCACAAAGCTAGCATACCTTCCAATTATGATACCGTAAAAGATACTGCTCAAGTAGCAACCATGTTGCGCAACATCGACGAAGCTTCTCTATCCCAAGAAGGGATGCAAAAGACGGATACAAAAGCAACCTGCCAATATCCTAGAAAATTCAACACATATCAAAGGAAGACAACAATATATGAGAATATTTGTAAGCTTCAATATGACCTAGATCCAAAATGACAAGAATTTAGACCAGCACTTACACTAGGTCCATTCGGCTTTCAATCTGAGCCTCCCCCTCATTTTTTTGTTTGGAAACCTTTAAGCTTCTGCCTGAGGAAGAAGACGAAGTTTCCTGTGAGAAAGCAAGCTCGTCAAATAGCTCTTTGAGCTGCGGCAGGATATGCAAAGCTGTCAATTCTGGTCCAATTTGCTGACAAATTGACATCAGGGTAGTAGCAGCAACCTAGTCAAACAGCCACTGTTAAATTGCTGAATGTTTATGAGAAAGAAAAGGAACCAAAGATTTGCAAAAGATCAGAAAAAAGAATCATAAAGTGCTTAAAGCTCAACTCATAACAAACCAACGCATAAATTTAAAATACCTGAAGTACTCCAATTTCCAAACTAGTCTGCATAAGAATCAAAACATGCAGGCAACTTTGATCCTGCATAATCATAGAAAACGTTTCCTTATTTCCGCAAAAGATGCTTCACATTTTAAAGTAAAACAAAATGAGACTGAAATCCATACTTGAATCAGCACTCTTAAGATCACCTCCTTTGGCAATAATGCAACCAGACCAGAAATTGTAACCAAACTATCAATAAGAGCTAAAGCACTCCAGCTTTGCACAGGCTCGGGCTTTTTTGTATTTGAAACACCAATGCAGGAATGAACAACATGTTTTAACAGGGGTATCATTTGTCTGACAATGAAGGTTTCCCCTAAAAGACTACCTGTAATGTCAAAGCATATAAGCAGCTTACAAGCAGAACACACAAATACGAGGAAGAACTAAAGCATAAGAAAGTGAACAAAAAATACCAATTCTAACCAGCACATCAACTCCATCACTACAGAGCCCTTTCCCAAAGCAATGAATCAGAGGCAAGATTGTCTGGGTTTTCAGAATAGATGGTCAGTATGTTGAAGACCAAAAAAGTTAATGTGTAATCTCCATAACTCTAGTAAGAAATTGCGTGTAAATGCATATACAAACTTAATATGGCAGCTTTAGGTGGGTATATGGCACATTATCTAAAATGTTAGATACTGTTTTGGTGACAACAGTTTTGGGGGGTATATGGCACATTATCTAAAATGTTAGATACTGTTTTGGTGACAACATTGAAAAGAGAAAGTGTAGGTTCCATTTTACCTGATGAATGGTAACAGGTACACCAAGCTCTTCGCTGGAGCCAATGAGCAGAACAGCAGCAGCAGCTGCCGAACTCTTATGAGCAGCTGCATGCAAGTTTGATATGACCAAAGGATGTATCATGTCTAGATATGTTTGTCTACCGACCTGGTTCCATATCTCCCGCATTAAGGAGTTTTGTTGAAGAGACACCTTTAGATGAGAATAACCTGTAGTCTGAAATATGTCTTTATAAGCTATAAGTTGAAAAAACAAAGACTACATAGATGTGAAATTTCACAAAGAAATGTTCCAAACTAACCTGTAAAATCTTCTGAATTGCGGGCAAAATAATTGCCTTCACTGACTTAGGTTTCAAGCATTTAATTAATTCTTTCAAAAGTGTATAAGCCCATTCTGCTTCAATGTCTGATAGAGGAGCTAGTACAAGAGATAGGCAATAAGGAGCACACATTTTAGCCGCAAATGTTCCCATTGCCTTGAGCGCACCTTGTGTAGCAAAAGTTGCAGCATACTGTAGACGGGATCCATGTTTTGCTAGAAGTTGTAGGGGGGCAAGAAACAAGTAGCATGCCTTGACTGTTGAAGAAAAATATGGGGATTCCAAAAGGCATTTGGCCGACGGCCGCCTACATATTTTGATAGAGGAGCAAGACAAATTTGCTTTAGTTGCTAAATGACCATAAATTAATACTATTTTGAAAGTTCCAAAAATAATATATGATTAGATGTGAAGTTATTATTAACGCACATATAAAAACAATGCAACATGAAAGATACTAACTAATACCTCCTCCAGTCTTTCTCAATGCATGCTTCAACAAGTACTCTAGTGTGAGGAGGAAGCTCCAACATTAATCTAGGCAAGACGCCACGTTCCGAGTACAAGGAAAATGAGGTTGAATCAAATAGTGGCTTTCCCAAATGAAGTTCTGCTAAGATACAACCAACAGAGAAAATGTCCTTTGTGATATCTGTAGAAAGACTCATTGAACAAGATGATTTCTGCCTCCAAAGCAGTAACTCTTGATAACCCATAGAACCTTCATCTCCGACGTCAATATACTCAAGAAGATAATTTGTATCAATTGAAAATGGAAGCCCACAGTGTTTGGCAGGATCAGATTGTTGATGATGCCTTTCAACATTGTCAACTGGAGGCTGTTCAACAGAAGAAGCATCCTTGCTTTTATATTCTAAATGGTTACCATAGTAAGCACTTAGATGCCTAGCATGTTCCGAAAATGCAGATGCTTCTTCTAATTCTTGCAAAGAAGCAGGTCCAGATAGGAGGGAAGTCTTAACCCCTACTTCAGTCACTGTACGCTGATGTATGGCGGACTCATTGGTGCCAAAGAAATCACTTGCTTTCCTCATCACACCATGACGCATAGGGTGAGGTCGAGTAAAGAGCTGACAGCGTCCCACTGATCTTGGCATTGTGGGCTCTGATGAAGGAAGCATTACATTCTTTGCAACAACAGCTGCTTGGCCAGACATTTTATACCCAAAGGTGATATCAATCCAGTGATGGATTTGGCGAGAGACCCGATCACTTTCTAAAGCATCACGATGCAATTTAATGAACTCCTCTGCAGTAACTGCCCAAGAAGGTACAGCCAAATCTGTCATACCAGCATGTAGGGAATGGAATATTTCAGGATCACAATAGAACTCTGGAATGCACTCATCAGGGGTCCATTGATAGAGTCTTTGCATGGTAGAAGGGTATTCATTAGGTTCATAAACAGAGCGAACAGCCATACGCAAAACAGCCAAACGCAACCTCCTTGCTTTGTAACTACACACAGCCAATTCAGAAAGGCACTCGTCAGACACGTGATGTGGGATCTCGGAGGTTGAATAGGTGAAGTCCAATTGTTCATCACCCTTAGCCAAACGCCACTTACTCTTTGTCAAATCCCGCCACCCAATATCAGAATTCTCATCAGGTTTTGAACTAAAATCTATTACCCAAGGCATCACTGTATGAAATGTGTGGTCACCCCACCTTCTTCCAGCTAATTTATTTAAGATGAGTAGGTACTCAAAATTACTCATCTCTCCCCTCCACCACCGGTCAAAGTCACGATGCCAATCAATAGATGGGGAAAGCTTCAAGTCAGCATAAAGTCCCTGAGAAGGGCAACCCTCTACAAAACACCCTACCTTTGTTGGTATAGCAATGGTACTTTTGTCACCGGTCGAATTTGAACTAGATCCTAACCAACCAGGCTCATCAAAAATATGCAGCCATGCCCAACATGTATCAGTCAGCATTACAGTAGATGGGCAAATATTTCCATGGGCAACCCCTAAACCATGGATGTGCGCTAGGGCAGAAAGTAACTGGTAAATTAGAAAGTTTATCTGACATTCGGATCTTAATGCGTTGGGGCTGTAATGGAGGATATTTTCCAAGGTATATGGAGCTTTGGGAACAAGCACATTAACATGACCAGGGGATTTGAGCATGGCAAGAACCGGAACTATGTTAGGATGCCTCAAGGAACCTGGAAAATCAGTCTCCTCAAAAGAGGGTATGCCGAGTAGATTGAGAAAATTGATGCTATCTCGCCCTGAAGCTTTCCCTTCAATCAAGAGACTAAGAGAACACAAAACATGGTCTTCAAGAGAGCCGGACAAAAAATTGGAAATAAGCTCATCCAAAACAGAGCCAGAACAAGCAGCAACATGAGCAAGAGGCGCCAATGCTGTGATTATTCTTGCGCAAGAGAACTTACCCAGATGAGCACATGAGGAACCACTTTGCAGCAATGTTTTTGCAACACCATCAGATGAAATCGGAGAATCTGCAGAACTGGCATCTGCTTGATCCACGCCGAGTTTGTTGTTGTCAATCCCAGCCCCATGACAATGATCTTCTGGGGCTTCCAGACCTTTGATGTTCTGGATATATTCAGCTCTGACAACGAGGGTCAAAATTTTGCAAATGATAAGATAAAACAATTTCACTTTAAAACTTGGTAAGAATACATTTGGCAGGCTTCATCATAAACAGTCCATTTTAATAGAATTCTCCCCCAAAACATGAATTAAAAAAGAAAACAAAACAAAACTCAAACAAGCAATCAATACCCATTCTTATATCTATTTTTAAGAGAAAACAATCACTTCAAAAATAAATAAATAAAAAAATAACGCTCCGTTCTTTTCGCAACT